AAGAAATGAAACTGAGCTGGTGCAAATGTTATTAAAAGATGTTAAACTTTATTGGACAGTCAGAATCATACAATGAATGACAAAGTCAGAATAAATGTAAGAAAAAATTAAAAACAGCTGAGACGTCAGTCACAACCGCAAACTGTGTTCATCTGAAGAATATGAACAAAGCAACTCGATAGCAGCTCGTAGATGTGTTCGACTTTATTAATATACTGACAGAATGACCAATATGGCTTCTTCTGTTTACTTCAACAGTTGGATTTTAGCTTCAGGTATCAAATACTTACCCAGATATTCTCAATAATGTCAAATTTTTTCAGATCCTTCTTGAAAAATTGAATACTTTTAGCAAGTTTTTCTCTTTTGGTCGCTTTAAGCTTGAAGTTTTTAACGTTGCTGCCATGAAAGTACAAGATTGTTGCTCTGGATGACATCATTTCAGTGATAAATGAGGAAAATCATCCATTAATGACGCCTGCGAGATGTAGAAAGTCAAATATTAGTTTGTAAAATAACATTTGAAGAGTCCTGACACACGAGTTGAACAGAATCATGGATCAGCGTGAACCAGATGACAGCTGTTGGGTCGTAAATGTTCTCAGAAGAACCCAACGTGGTGCCAACAAGACCAACTCAGTCTTTCTTTGTACTTTAGAAGTTGCTCAAGACATAACAGAGGTTTTTTTTTACAGCACTGAGTTGCAAACCTGTTCTCCAGGCTACAGTTTTTAAAAAGTACCTTTAAGTTGTGGTTGAAGGAAACATGAGAACCTCATGAAGGTCCTTCTGAAACACCGTTCACTGTTTATACCTGGTATTTGTTCTGTGGGATAAAAACAACCTACGATAATGTTCTCACATCGTTATCTGGGAGGAGGCCCTCTCCCTCTCCCTCGGCCTCGACCCGGTCCGGCTCCCGGTCCAGGTCCGGGTCCGGGTCCGGGTCCTCTCGGTCCCGGCGGTCGATTCACCGGCCCCCGAGGGTTGGGTGAAGCCAGAGCCACGTCCTTCTCCAGGTTCACGCCTTTACCGGCCGCTCCGGGTTTAGTCTTGGTCGGCTTTGGTTCTGGTTCTGGAGGTTTTTCTGTTTGGATGAAGAAGACCAGTTCAACCTCTGGAGGCAAGTACGCTCCACAACCAAGGAACCCTTTAACGGTTCACCTGTTGGTGCATTCAGGGGGGTACTGACCCGGTTCTGGAGGAGGGGCGAGGGATCGGTTGGGCAGCAGGTCCTCCAGGTCCTTCATGACCTGGTTGGTGCTGTCGGTGTTGTTCCTCCGGTTCTTCTCTTCGTCTCGAGCCTGGATGGAAAGAAAACATTGATGTGTTTCAGTAGATATTGGAGCTCTAAGGCACCAAAATGAGACGTAGCTGAGTTTGGACAGAAAATCCACGTTGACTGGATGAACTCATCACTGGGTTTGGGTTTATGAGTTATATGTAGACAAAAAGTAAAATATAGACCAGCAACAAACAATATAAGTCAATAAACAGCTTCTGTAGGGAGGTATGTGACTAAAAATCTGGGAAAAATGCTTCTGTGAGCAAATCATTTACTAACTGACCTCCAGGGACGACGTTCAGGTTCTACATCTACACTCAGGAAATTACTGATCAAATTGAATTAAACCGAATTAAAAGTAGAGTTTCTCAACTTTTGGACTCTAACTCGTTTAGACGATTTTTAACTTGTGTTGGAAATTTTGAACATTTTTAGCTTGTTTTGGACAAATTTTAAGTCATTTCAGAGGATTCTTAACTGGTGTTGGGAATACTTTGAGTCATTTATATAGTTTTTAGCTTGTTTTGGATTAATTTCAAATCCTTTTAGACAGTTTTTTTTCTCATGTTGGAAATAATTTGAGTCATTTTGGCCCTTTTTTAGCTTGTTTTTGGAATACTTTGAATCGTTTTAGAGGATTCTTAGCTGGTGTTGGGAATATTTTATGGAGCTTTGAACTTGCTCTGGACAAATTTCAAATCATTTTAGATGATTTTTTAACATGTGTTGGAAACAATTTGAGTCGTTTAGAACAATTTTTAGCTTGTTTTGGACAAATTTCACGTCACTTTAGACAATTTTTTAACTTGTGTTGGAAATAATTTGAACGTGAATTTTCACCATGACAACCATCTTCCAGCTGTCCTTGTTGTAGTTGATTTATTAATTTGTTAAATCTTAAATGCACTAATTAACAACTACATCATAAATGAGGCCTTCATACCTCAATGTAATCTAAATTTAAATAAAGTTGAATCTAGGTTTAGACACGTATGATCACACTTGCTAATAAACACTCGTCACAAAGTAAAGCTGATGAGGAATCGTTGGTTTTACAGGGTTCTTTTGTGGCACAAATTATAATTTTGATGATGCAGAATAAAAGTCAAGGGCATCCTGACCAAATATTTAACCACAATGATCTTCTCTGGAGGTAAAGTAGTAAACTATTCCATCATTTCATGTGTTTCATGTGTAGCACCACTCTGCTGTACAGATTATACGTTGGTACATCACTTCTATCTACTCACCATCTGCATCTTCTTCTTCAGCTCCATGTTGGAGTTTTTGTAGGCTTCAGACACTGAGTTCAGATAATAGATTGCCAATCTGTAGAGGAGAGATGATGACCTTTGATCATGTTTCTGTTGTCCACAGATACTAAACAAGCATTTGCAGCAAAAGCAACTTTAAAACTCCACCCAATGAATAAAACCAAACGGATGTGTGCGTATTTCTGTGCCACCACTCACACCATGAGCAGCACCGCCGGGATGATGAGGCCTGGATTGGCTGCGTAGCTGAACAGCGTCCCCATGAAGGCGGGCAGGTCCAAGTCGATGGTCTCCATGATCACGTCAAACATCTTGGGTTTACCGCTGCAAACCACAACTCAGTCACTCAAATGGTTTAGTTAACTTTAGACTGATATATGGAACACTTTCCAAAGTAAACTCTGTGCAGATAGATTTCATGTTTGGCCCTTTTGTACTCGTTACCACCTGAACGGTCCGCAGTCAAACGACGGCGGCAGCGTCATGATGGTGTAGACGACCGGCAGCAGGCTGAGGAAGAGGACGAGCAGCAGCAGGCCCATGTAGAAGTTGTTGGACTTGGAGGCCTTGAAGACCCTCTCGTGGGGGACGTTGGTGGCCATGACAGCCCAGCACTGGTAGTACATGGAGCTGAGCAGGCGGAGGACGTTGATGCCGACCAGCCCAGGAGCATAAAACGCCCCCATCCTGAAACCAGGCAGCAAATAGGAAGGCTTTTACTGTGAAAATACGGTTTATCCTGCATTTCCTGGTGCAAGACTTGACAGCGTTACATGATCAGTGGAAGTAGTTGTGATGTGATATAAATCAGACACAATGAAGTGGTGCAATATAAATATAATTAAATTTGGTTAAATGCAGAGTTTGTCAACTTTAAGACTTGGGACCGTTTGTGGAGTAACATGATGTTTTCACCTTTTTGAAACTTTAAACACGCAAAAGCCATTTTGGACAATTTTTAACTGGTATTAAAAATACTTTGAGTCATTGGGAGATGAGATTTTTAACTTCTTTTGGACAAATTTCAAGTCATTTTAGACGATTTTAAATTTATGTTTGAAATATTTCAAGCCATTTTAAACGATTTTTAACTCATTTTGGATAAATAGTTTAAATCATTATGGACCATCTTTAACTTGTTTAGGAAATATTTAGACAATTTTTGGACAAATTTTAAGACATTTTAGACTATTTTTTAACTCATATTAAAAATATTTGAGTCATTTTTGCAGATTTTTAGCTTGTCGTGGACAAATTTCTAATAATTTTAGACTATTTTTTTAACTTGTTTCTGAAATATTTTGAGTTGCAGATCCTTTTAACTCATGTTAGAATATTTTTTAGAATCCTTTTGGATATCATTTTAGCATGTTTTGGACTCATTTAAGTCATTTTAGACAATTCATAACTTGTATTAGAATATTTTGAGTCATTTTGAGGACTTTTTTAAATTTTATTTTGGACAAATTTCTAATTAAACTATTTGTTAGACTTCTGTTGGAAATATTTTGAGTCATTTTTCACTGTTTTTAACTCGTTACATAAAAATATAAATTTAAACCTGGTAAATACTTTTAAATACGTCATACTTTGTATCTGCTGATAATCTGAAATCACAACCTGACACCTCTTATATTCTCATTTTGGGTCCACAAGCCAAAGTTTGAGAATTCCTGAAATAATTGAGTGCATTTAACTTCAAAAAAACATAAAAAAATACTCAATAAATGAACATTTGAAATGTGAAGCAACAAAATAGAACCTAACAATATAACATGAAGTGAATTGTTATGATGTTACTTAATTACTGCCGGTGTGACCTACTGCTGTATGGATCATGTAGCTGGTGATACTATTTCTGCTCAAAGAGCCGATGATAATGTAACACAGAGACGTTCCAATGCAACCTGAAGCCCAACACTGGCAGGGATGTGGACTTTGTCTGTCCGTCGGTGATACCAGATACATGCAGCGACACACACCTGAACATGTAAACACACGGTGCAGACTGAGCATGCTCAGTGTAGGTATAAAAACACAGCCGGTACCAGATCATTCCTTGGTTGAAGACCAGTCCGAGGACGTTTCCACTGATGTCAAACTCTCCGTACGATGGCTGGAAGGGATCAGAGACAGTTATTAGTCCCTGAACGCTGCGCTGATGATAAAACTATTAAATTAGTCCTCAGGTCGGCCGGAGAGAATTGGATTTCAGAACTGCTTAAACTGAATAAGGATCATATTTCTCAACTGATTATAGATTTAAGAGGCAGACATGCTGGAGGTTCTGTGAGGCTGAAGCTGTTACTACATGCTCATAGTTTAATGTGTTGACATTTGCACTAAACACAGAGTACAGGGCTAACGAGATCATTGTTATTTGCAGGTATTTGTTGACCAAAGCACAACATTTTCCAAGCGACACTGAAATCGACAGAGTCAAAGCAGCGTTGTGGCTAAAAAATAATGAACTCTACCAACATGATCTGCCTTTAACTTGTATGTTTTTTACGTTTTTTCGAGAAGGAGGGCATTTCTATCATGTAAAAAACTATCTTTGACACATATTTAACGTGTAACAGAAGACTAATTAAAAAATGAACACAACACAATTGACCTTTTCCACAGCAGCCATTTAGACATGAAACAATACAGACATTACTAACAATAATAATAATGAAGGTTTTAGGTATAGAAGGTTATTTAATGTGATAAATAAAACCTGTGTTTGTCTGTTTCATGTCCGAATGGATGCTGTGAGAAAATTCTATTAGAATTTAATTTCATTTATCTTTCTTTTTATTACATTTTATTGCACAGTGCATGATTACTGGTGATTTAAAATGTCTCTTTGTGCTACGCTACTACTCTGGTAGGTTCTAATGATCCGGTATCGGCAGGTTAGCTTTACAACCAATGCCAGTTTCACTTTATATTTACCTGCATATTATATATTATACATGGTCACACAAGGACACAGGGATGTATTTCTAAAGACTAAGACTCAATAATTGTTCATGAGAAGCCATTTTGGCCGCTCAAGTGTAAGCAATGAAGTGACTGATGGCTGAATTCCATTTAGCTGCTTCAGTTTCAGGCTGCCATTGTGAACGTTGGCACGCCGTCACACTGTCATGGCTCATTAGGACGGTTTAAATAGAACGGAGCTATTGTTAGTCTTATCAGTAACACCTGTGCTTTTCCTGCTACGATGTCGACGTCAGATTGTGGGCCGTGAAAAAGGCCCGTTCTGCAGCGTGGACGGTCTTTCCTCACTGAGAGCAGCACTGAAAGGAGCAGCTACCGACTGTTTCTTTGACACATTTACAGTAAATTTCAAACCACTTACAAATCCAGCCTCCAGGTCCCAGCACCAGCAGTAGTTGAGGAATCGGACGATGACGGCTCTGGCAAAGTCCCCGATCAGGATGGTCAGGTAGGACACCTGGATGTCCGACACCGTCAGCTTCACGAACTCCTGCAGCAACACGGTATCTCGTTAATTTCATGCAAAATAATTCCTTCTTTGAGAGGAAAGGAAGTTTCTGTGTTGTATCTAGATGTTTAAGGACAAATCAGTTTTTTCTTTTCATTACTATTCCGACAGCCGTCTCCCAGCAGGGTCCTCTGATGACGTCTGCAGGGTTCATGGGTGGCGGCGTGGCCTCGCTGTCGTTGGTCATGCGTGAGAAGTTGGCGTAGTACTCCTTCATGGCCCAGATGGAGGCGTTCTTTATGGCTTGTTCTTCTTCCAGCTGAGGGGAACCAAGAAGCTAATTAGTCATCAGATTTTTTTACAGAAAACTTCTTGCCAAAGGAGACATTCGCCAGTTTTTACACCAGTCTGCACACGTTAAGTTATGTCATGAAAATAAAGCAAATTTTTGTAGCTGTTGGGAAGGTTTTACAAATATAGAAACCCCATGGATTAAAGTTCATCTGTCAACACTTTCCAAGATGTTTCTTTTATAATCGTGGCGTATGGCAACAATGCTTTTTTGGCTTCAGGAGACGTTTTTATTTGCAATACCACAAGTGACCACTAGGAGGTGTTTGGCAGCAGCAAGTCCATTTCTCTTTATATGTCCATGGTTAAATTAAAGAGTTTTAGTCCTGTTTTCTCACGATATCACTCTTGAATGCAGGATCTCGTTAGGCCTTGACAAGTTCTGGTTAAACCATAGCGTTTATTTTAAAAAATGGTCGTGGCAGCTGTGGTATCACCAGCTGGTTATCCATTGATTTGTGGACTTCAAAGCCTCGAGATTGACGTTTGACCGTGGCTGTCTTGCCGTTTTGCAGCCAGACGTAACCAGTGAGGTTATATCTGACTGAGAAATCAAGAATATTACACACATTGATCACAAGATAGCTCTGCCCTAAAACGCAACCTGCTTTATCGTGTATTTTCTGCTACATGGAACTATAATTCACATAAAAAACATCATGCTGTATTTAGAAAGTCTTGAAACTAGTGACTGAGACCATAAAGTATTTACACAAATGTTTACTGAGGTAATAAATCAAGTAAGAAGTTGGGTCATTTTCTCATAGATTCTTATTTCAATCTGTAACCAGAGATATCGGCACCTGCTGGATGTTAGGTATAATGCAGGTTTAGGTGACTCTATTGGCTTTACTTTTCAGATCCAAAAGTTTCATCCTACTTTTATTTACAACAAAAGTCAGTAAAACAAACTAACAAACAAAAAAGTGTGTACAGTTTTGCTAAGGCCCCCGGGTGAATAAAATGTTCATTACAGTCCGCAATACAGAAGTTGAGTTGGGAAAGTTTACCTAAGGTTGGAAAAACTGTTTGAAGTGTACAAGACATTGTGTGTGCAAACTTGAACCTTTGGGTCTGACAGTGGCACAGCTAGATTTTAGTGTTTCTTGTGTACCAGCTGATATTTTGACAGTTTTGAGGATTGACAGAAGTCTGACACTTGTAGATACCTTGTGATAGGCTGTGCTATTGCTGTAGAAAATGACCATGTAGACCAACTGATTGGCCAACATCCGTGAGCCACTTATTGGACAAAAACAAGACTTTTATATCCCTAAATTGAAAACCTAATTTTGCCAAGACTGTCCGAAGGCTTTCTGCATGATCTCCACAACATAATGGTGGCAAACCAACACATACCTTGGTGTTGACTTCATCAAACAGGGCGAACAGAAAGGTGTAGAGGTTTCCCAGGAAGAGGGCAAAGATGCGTCCCAGCTGCCATTTGAGGGCGATTCGAGGGTGATAGTCCTCCAGCTCAGCGATGGTCTCGAACAGAGGAGGACACACCAGGCCAAGCAGGGACATGATGAGCTCCAACTGGACAAACAGGTCAAAATCACAAGCAGTTCATAGGTTTTTTTTTACATAAAAGCCACGCAAACAAAGCTTCAGTATTTCCAATTGACCTTTTAGCCTTTGTTCTACAAACCTGGTTGTTGCAGGAGCAGCTGCAGTATTAATTTTGCTTTATATGCGTCTGAGAACCATCTGATTCAGAAGCATCATTACCTCGTTCTTCTCGTACCAGCTGAGGTCGTCCCTGGTGGCAAACTCCTGAGACCGTTTCACCACAAAGTAGATGAGGTAACCGCTGCCGCCGAGGCTACAGAGGATCAGGAAGTTAGCCAGGACTCTGAGGAACCTCCGTAGGTGAATGTTCTCGTCCTTCTGGTTCTCCTGCTCGTCCACGATGGACTCCTGTTGTTATCGAAACATGCAGAGAATTGACTGTTAGCAGAACACTTTGCATCATCATGAGCTCCACTGGTTTGTCTGGGCAGCATGAAAAACCTTACAACAGAATGCAGAAAGGAATGCATAATGATATATGAGCATCTTATGGGCTGTGTGGTTGCCATGGTCACCTTGAAGCTGGTGGTAATGGAGGCGTACTTGTTGTCGGCGGTCTCTGAGTTGCCGATGAGGTAATCCCAGCTGGTGAACATCTTCCAGGCGAAGGTGAACTCTCCTTCATCTCCATCTCCGCCACCAACATCAGCATTCTTGGCCATTCTGACAAACAACAAACAAGCAAAGATAGCATTATGAGTCCAGACAATCCCAAAATGAATCTATTCTATTCTAATCATACACCTATACCTACACATTCACCTTTGATTTATCAGATTTATCATTTATCATTATTCAGTTATGACAGGGCTCCCTCACAAGCAAGAAACATTCCCACAACATTGGCTAATATTGTCTGAAAGAAAACATTTAAATGCTAAAAGAACATTTAAAATATATCTATCATTTAAAAAAAATGTTCCTATGAGGTTTAAAGTTAGCAAAAGCAGAACGTTTCAACATTCACACGATGTTTTCTGTTATTCACAAGCCAAACTATTCCTCATTTTTTCTCAAAAACATCAAAAAGATCAAACGTGAGGAGATGTCGACGTTGCTCTGGTGCGGCTGAAGCAACCCGGGTTCTTGCATTTGAATGAATGGGTTTGACAGCAAATATCTGCTGCCGTGCTGCAGACTCACGTGCGAATCACGAGCATCAGGCTGTAGCCGAATGTACCAATCCCGACCATGAGGTAGGACAGAGGCAGCCTGAACTTCAACAAACCGATGGTCCTCTGGTTGTTGTAAAATCCGTAGAACAAGACTGAATATTTGCAGTAACCCTGAAGAAGAAAGAGAAGCCATTAATGTTCTTGCTTGGTTTGTGCAACACACAAGTTACATCGACCTAATTTCTCTATTTTTGGACTCTTTGTCGTACTAAAGATGTAGGTGCTGCATCCTAGATCTAGTTTATATTCATCAGGGTTGATAATGATAAAAAAACCTTCATCTGCATCATAATCTGACTCACGTTGAAGTCCATGAGGACAGAATAGTCTTGAGCTGTGGCCTGCTCTTCTCTGGGTACCGTCTTCCTGGGGATGGACCCATAGGGAAGACCCATCAGGACCTGGAAAGTTTAGAATAATGAAATAAAGTTTGACTTGTTAACCCCCAACATGGTGCATCCTGATTCTACACAATGTATTGAATTGGTTTTGTGCTTCTTTTGTACATCCAGAAACTGGACTACAATGACTTCACCTCTGGGATGACCACGAGTCCAAACGTAAAACCAAACAGGACGAGGTTCATGCCATACATCCAGCGCAGGAAGATAAAGTAAGACGCCACAGATGACCCAAAGTGGCCTAAAGGCATGGAGAAGGTTTATAAACTCAGCATCTGTCCACAAGGTATCACTGTTCAGTCAGTCAGCAAAGCTGTGCCGGAAACAAAACTTACTTTCCACCTCTTTGATCTTCCTCTCCCAGGGGATACAAGCTGTTCTGAAGTTCTCAAAATCTCTCTGGAACTTGATCCATTTCTAAGATTAAAAAAAAAAGAGAATTATAGTAGGAAAACAGACAAAGAGACAAAAGCACAACAAGTTTGAATTGTGTGCTTCACCTTGGTCATCATCACTTTGTAGGCGTACCACTTTCTGCCTTTTCCTTTGCCCAAAGCTCCTTCAAACTTATCCACAAACGCCTGAGCCTCCCTGTGAACAAACACTCGTCAGAACACAATGAAACGACCAAATCTAATCTAAATCCTAAATCTTGCAAGGAAGAGATTACCTCAGGTGTGTTAGCCTCCGCTTCATCCTCCACGGCTTGTTTCTGATGTTGGCGATCAGCTTCTTCTTCTCCTCCACCTCCTCCATCAGCCGAGCCATCTCGCCCTCCGACATGGAATCCTCCTCCTCGTCCGAGTTGGAGTTGGAATCAGATGAACTGAAAG